GTTCATGATAAGTGTTCTGTCGTATATTTGTTTAGTTACTAACATTCTTTTTAGAGCATAGAACTTACCAATCATGCTTTTATTTTTTTAAATCACAGCCAAAATTCTACAGTTAAAATTTTAAAACTACAGCTACGGCAAAAAAGCTACAGCTAAATAGTCTACAACAAAAAGTCTAAAGCTATAGTCATTACCAATCGTACCCGAACTCTCACTCGATCGAATATGTATCGGATTTAAGTATGGGTATTTCATGTAATCACTTGTAGTTTTGGATAATTTTGAAATTGGAGAATTTTGTTTCTTTTCCCGGATAATTTACCATACATTGATTCTTTTCCCATTGGAATAAATAATCTTTGACATAAACATATAGTTATTCTTTTCCCATACATGTGTATACGCGGGTTAAAACTGTAGGCTTAGTTTCAGTTTAGCTTTTTCAATTGATTCAAAATGTTAAACGGGCATTTATTCTCTTTTTGATGTTCGGAAGAGAAAAAAAAAACACACACTTTCTCGAGAAACGACTGTAACTTTCCAGGTAAAGTAATTGGTTTACAACTTTACTTGCTCTCAGCTCAGCAACAAATCAAGAAATTTCAAGGGTTTAATTTTCAGATGATCGCATACTTTGAAAACCGATCAAATTATGTTTACTGATTAAAAAGCCCAATTCAGTTATATAAGTCCAAAATGCATCCAAAGGCCCAAATGGTGGGTAAATTATTCTGGAAATTGAACACCAAGAGGGGTGGTCAAGTGATTGGTTACAAGATTTCTTCACATTGTAAAAAATATTCGGATCTCGCCATGAATAAGCCAATGATCATTGGAAATCCATCCAACTGACTTTTTTTTTCTTGTTAAAAGTTCTTTACTATCTTTTAAAGTTCGTGCAACAGTCAATGATGTGAATGGTGTATATATGTCGATCGGTCTTATGACATAAGAAAATGTATACATCTCTAAGTTTCTTGAAAATTCTCTGAGAAAATGTATACATCTCTAACTTCGAAGTTTTTTTTTGTTTGAAAAAGAAAACAAATCCTCGCAATCTTTCTTTCTCACAATTTTTTTTTTCGCAATCTTAAGCTTTTTAAACTTAACACACGATGGGGTTGCTCGAATCTACTAGCGCAAGTGATCATTTCCAATGTATTTTTCTATATTTGATTCTAAAATAAAATAAAAAGTAGTATTATTCTATTTTCACTCCAATGTATCTTTTTTATAGAGAAAATGCTATTTTTTCCTCTATTTTAGTATTTCCTATATTTTTTCTTCTATATATAGAAAAAAAAAATAGCAATTTCTATTTTAGAGTTGAAAATAGAGATGAGTTAAAGAAAAAATAGAAAATTGCTATTTTTTCCTCTATTTTTAGAGAAATAAACAGAGATGGATTAGAGATGCCAAACATCTGCATTTTTTAGAACGGAAGTTCAACACTACCTTTTTGCAAAAGATTGTAAGAACGGGGCAATATGGGGTTAGAAATGTTATAATCATGCGGCTATGATTATTTCAAAAATAAGCTTCAATGCTTAAAACGAAAACACAAGTGAGGATCCCACATGATGAATCATGTTATATAACGACCAAAACCGCAGTCATCTCCAACTTGAGGCTGAGACATACACGAAGCCAAATCAATAAAGTCCTTATCAACTTCTGTCTCGCATTATTTTATTTTATAGCAATTATATTAGTTGATTTCTTTCACGAATGAATAGAAGGATAGCTCCTATACAATTTTGTGGCTTATGCAATTTGGAGAAAATATAAGGACATTATTTTGATATGGAATTTATCTTTTTGTACTCTCTCTATATTTTCAACCATATAAGAATTGACATTATTTTGAGATGGAATTTATTTTTTTGTACTCTCTATTATTTTGTGGCTAATACAATCAAAATTTTCTAGAACGATACAAATTTTCAAGATGTAAACGAAAGCAATAAACGGTTACAAAATAGTACAGAACTGTAAAAGATAGTGATAATAAAAAGCGACACCAAAATTTGAATGCAACATTTTTGATAAAAAAAAATTATATCAGGATTAATGTAAAAACGATCTTATATAATATTTTAAGGTTTCCACTAAGTGATATTTTGAGAGGCTGCCACATGTCACTTTTTGTGACAAT